ACGGTTGATGTTAATTCTCCCAGTGGCACAGCTATTTCAGTCCAAGCTGTCTCTGATAGAGATTGTAAAGTACAGTTTAGTTACACACAGCAGTCTTCCCCACAACCTCCATGAGGAGAGAGGAAGCCAATACAGAAGACTGGCTCATTTAGACAGATGCCACAGAGTACAACACAGGACATGGCGGCCCTGGCGGTTGTAAAGGGAGGAATTTTGAACACAGCATCAGTTCCAGGAAGTAAAGCTGACAGACCTATAGAACAGACTTATCTAAATGAGTTACAATCTGGCTAAGGAGACTAGGTCATACAGTCTTATGCAAAAGTTTAGGCACCCCTTGATAAATAACAGATTTTGGTGATTTTTTTATTTGAACAGATGTTAACACAGTTTCTCTTGGAAATGGAAAAAATGCACAATATTTTCAGCAAACAGTGATGCATAGTTACTTCTTATGCCATAAATTGAACAAAAATAAAAAATAAAAACATTATTATGGCATGGTGCAAAAGTTTGGGCACCCTAAGAGTTCCAGAGTCTCAAAGTCTCTCACAAGGTATCAGACCTTAATCAGCTCGTTAGATCTGATGCACAGCAACAGCTGTCATTGGTAAATGCCAATTTCAAAGCTGTACAAATACTTTGACTCTTCAAACCTTGTGCACACACTTGTGGACACCCAGCAACCATGGGTTCCTCTAAGCAGCTGTGTAAGACCCTGAAAATGAAAGTTATTGACGCCCACAATGCAGGAGAAGGCTACAAGAAGATAGCAAAGCGTTGTCAGCTTGCAGTTTCCACAGTAAGAAATGTAATTAAGAGATGGCAGATCAGGGGAACTGTGGAGGTCAAGATGAGATCTGGAAGACCAAGAAAACTCTCGGACAGAACTGCTCGTATGCTGGTCAGAAAGACAAATCAAAACCCCCATTTGACTGCAAAAAACCTGCAGGAAGATTTAGCAGACTCAGGAGTGGTGGTGCACCGTTCCACTGTGCAGCGATGCTTGCACAGACAAGGCCTTCATGGAAGAGTCAGCAGAAGAAAACCTTATCTGCGTCCCCATCATAAAATCCAACGTCTGAAGTATGCAACAGGACATCTACAGAAGCCCGATGCGTTTTGGAAACAAGTGCTGTGGACTGATGAAGTTAAAATAGAACTCTTTGGACACAATCAGCAAAGGCATGTTTGGAGAAAAAAAGGAGCAGCATTTCATGAAAAGAACACCTTGCCAACTATTAAGCATGGGGGTGGATCTATCATGCTCTGGGGTTGTGTTGCAGCCAGTGGCACAGGAAACATTGCACGGGTGGAGGGAAGAATGGATTCCACTAAATACCAGCAAATTCTGGAAGCAAACATCACACCATCTGTAAAAAAGCTGAAGCTGAAAAGAGGATGGCTTCTACAACAGGACAATGATCCTAAACATACCTCGAAATCCACTATGGAATACCTCAAGAGACGCAGGCTGAAGGTTTTGGAATGGCCATCACAGTCCCCTGATTTAAACATCATTGAAAATTTGTGGGTAGATCTTAAAAGAGCTGTGCATGCAAGACGACCAAAGAATATTACAGAACTAGAAGCCTTTTGCAAGGAAGAATGGGAGAAGATCCCAAGTACAAGAATTGAAAGACTTTTAGCTGGCTATGAAAAGCGTTTGCAAGCTGTGATATCTGCCAGAGGAGGTGTTACTAAGTACTGATTGTGTAGGGTGCCCAAACTTTTGCACCATGCCATAATAATGTTTTTATTTTTTATTTTTGTTCAATTTATGGCATAAGAAGTAACTATGCATCACTGTTTGCAGAAAATATTGTGCATTTTTTCCATTTCCAAGAGAAACTGTGTTAACATCTGTTCAAATAAAAAATCACCAAAATCTGTTATGTATCAAGGGGTGCCTAAACTTTTGCATAAGACTGTAAACACCAAACGGCAGACAGGCAGTGGACCTTATTCACTAACATGCGCATAGAAATGTTCTTACCTTGTGCACAAAATAAGTGCAGGAGACATTACCATCATATTCATGACACCAGCCAATTTTGTTCTTTCTATTGTGTGTATGTTAGTGTAAATCAGAATCATTCTAAAATGACAGGCGCATTCCAGTGGTTTTCAAGTAGCCTGCTGCCATGCCCCCATTTCTCTATATACTTATAAACTAGAACAGTTTTTTAAATTTAATTTATTTCAATTAAAACTGTGATTAATCAGAATGACAGGGCATTAATTTCATGTTTATTTAATATGCTACATTTGGTCAATGCATTAGTAAATTAATCATTATAGCCTTAAATTATATTAATCAATTATATTAGCTATTAAAACCTTTTTAATTAATATAGTTTCAGTTAAAATGTGTTTGCATTTTTTAGCCAGCCAGGCCTTCATCATTTGTTCATACACATGGGGTGAGGCAGTATTAAATTTGTTCACAGAGTATGAACAAATTAAGGTAAGAAAATATTGATACAGAATATTGAATAAAATTGTGCATAAATTGTTTGTATACACGGTTTCAGCACAGAATTGTGTGTACACACTGTTTGTGGACGAGGCTTGGTGCTAGCAGCTAACTGGTGAACATACTCAAGCAGTTCGTAGATTAAGAATCAGATATTTTGGAGTTGGTGGAGACCAAAAACAGAGCTAAAAGAAAGTACTGTATATATTGGACCTGATGACCAGACACGTGACTCCAAATGGCAATAATGCTCTGTAACTGCTGGGTGTGTAAATAAGCAACTGCTTGCTGACAGGTTCACAAATTCAACTTAAAAGGTGAAGATATGTCAATATTGAGTCCCCAGGCAGTGAAAAAGGCCATTATTGCAGATTTAAAGCTACAGTAATGAGGGCAGCAAAATGAGAAAGGTGATGCTCATATTTTTGAATGAGAATTAGTTTGTCATTGGACTCTGAAGTTCTCCTTACAGCTGGGCTTTTAGCATCCTTCACTGTTTTCATTCTATAGTCCACAACTTTGCTGTTTTGGTTCACTCTGAGCACTGTCATCAGTGATGTTATTGGACACGACACCCTATTTTTAATAAAGAATGGAAAATGGTTTGGAAATCACAGGCACAATTGTTTGTGTTGCAGCAGTCACAGGTAAATTGCCTTTTGTTGCAATAATCACAATGATCACATTGACATGTTGAGGCCCATATGTATTTAGTCTGTTTAGCCAGTTTTTTTTTTATTACATATCAAATAAGACAAAATAAGATGGTACAGTTTTGAATCATTTAAGGTTGTAGTGATATGGTACAGGGGTGTACTGAGTTTTGTTATATACTATATGTTCAGCTGCCTCCAGCTAATGTTCACTGTGCGGGAGGAGCTCAGAGTAGAACCGCTGCTCCTCCACATCGAGAGGAGCCAGCCGAGGTGGCTCAGGCATCTGTTTTGGATGCCTCCTGGGCGCCTTCCTAGGGAGGTGTTCTGGGCATGTCCCACCGGGAGGAGGCCCCGGGGAAGACCCAGGAAACGCTGGAGGGACTATGTCTCTCGGCTGGCCTGGGAACACCTTGGCATTCCCCCAGAGGAGCTGGAGGAAGTGTCTGGGGAGAGGGAAGTCTGGGCATCTTTGCTTAGAATGCTGCCCCCGTGACCCGGTTCCGGATAAGCGGAGGAAAATAGATGCATGGATGGATGGCATTAAATTAGGCACAGGTGGACTCTAAATGCCGTAGAAGCCTCACGGTGACCACTGATAGGAGTAAGAAGCACCAGAACTCATCAATGTCATAACAAAGGGTCTGAATACTATTGTAAATGGGGTAGTTCTTATATTTTTGATACATTTACAAAACACCCCAAAAACCTGTTTTCACTTTATGATTGTGGAGTACTGTGTATAGATTGATGAGGAAAACATTTACATTAATCAATTTTAGGAGTATGAAACATAAAATGTGGAAAACTTAAAAGAGTCTGGAAAATTTTCCATACTCAATGTATTTGTGAATTTGGCAGAGGATTTGCAATATGTGAATATTTTGTCACCAAGGCTGTCGTTTGGATTTTAGAAAAATTGATGTGCCCATCTTTGTTTCATTCTGTTAACTGCTTACAAATTAAAATATTTGCAAGTTTTATTTCACTAGCTTACTTGTCTGGAACTTAATGACTCCTTGCAACTAAACTAACAACTCTCTCTACTTCCCTTTACAGTAAATACCACCATTTTATATGCTTTCCAGAAAGTGACCTAGGCAAATTAGTAGGGAATTATGGCCCTGTAAACCAACACCACCTTTTAACTTTTTAACATGAAGATCTATTTTAAAGAGTCCCCTCCACACTGGCCAGAATCAAAACCTGATGGAGAAATTTAGGTCATCATTCTTTTGTTTTAAACAGAGTCTGAAGCGAGCCTTTTTAAAAAACACACCAAATGTCAAGTTTTTAAAAAGGTTTAATCTTGTCTCCTCTAGTGTTTTAAAAATCCCCCAATCCCCAAGAAGAGACACTGAGGACAGGACCTCGGTGTGCTAGTAGTTGAACCATTTGCTTGTAGATTTAGTTTAAGTCACAAATGGACATAGAATTAAACTTAGCCTAAGGGAGTGGTGTTAATTAAATGAGACAAATCTATCAGATAAAGGGTCATATTTCTCTTAGGTGTTGTACATCTACATACAGTATGGAAAAAGAATGCTGGATGAGCTAAACCAACATGAACCAAAGGATACCACTTAACAATCTGCTTCCTGTTCACACGTTCTGCACTGAAAAGACCCAGCATTGTAGTTAGAAAAGTGTAAAGGGACCTGCATGATTCATGGTGAGCAACAGTTCAGCACTCAGTTCTGTATAAACTGAGCACATGGCAATAAATGTTGCAAAAACACTGAAGGGAAATTCGACTCCTCATTGCATCGCATTGTCCCTGCATCTATGACCACTACACTGCCATATAGGGGAGGCGATATGCTGAAGACTACTAACAAAGACAGTCACAATGAAAAGACTCTAACTGGAACTTACTTGACAGGTTGTGACTGGTCCTTTAAATTGTACCACTCAGGTCTGAAAGCCTCATACAAGCACCACAGAGCCCAGTCAAAGCCATGAGCAGCAGGTATATTGGGAGTCAGTGTCAAGTCATCAAAGTTGACTCTGTCAAACATTGGTGTGAGAATCAAGGTGCGGTCCTCTTTAATCCGAGCTAACAACGGCTCTGCCCTGGACAAAGGGACAGTTTAAATTGACAGAACCGAAACAAAAAGGTGCGATTATCATGTTAGCATAGCAATACAAAGAAAATGGAATGACTCAGATCACGCTGCACTTAAACCAACCATTGCACATGTACTTCTATGTGAGCATCCAGGATGGCCACCACGTCTCCTACAGCAGCCTTCCATCCTGACAGTCTGGCCTGGGTGAGGCCGAGCTGCTGAGAGTGCTGGACTTTCTTCACCAGGCCTGGATGCTCCTTGTGGATTGAGCTGATGTATTCATCCAGGTTCTCCATTAAATCCTCTGCAGAAAGCAAAGAGGTTATGTCATGAACCTTGTTAGGTATTTTTTAGTCAGATAGATATTGGTTAGGTACTTGTTGTATTAGAAATGTCTTTAGTGTAGACAGGATGTCTAGCTCAGGCTGTTAAATGCTTACTCATTTCCATGAGTTACTCCAGGTTGTTTATGTTCAAGGATAACTAGATAGAAGGTGGCTACTGTATGATATGTTTAGCCGTAATCTTAATCATAATATCTTCCTAGGCTTAATGTCCGGACATGTCCCTGAATGTCCTGTATGTTCTTAGATACACACCACTTAATCAACACTCACACACATTGATTTTCTCCATGTTTTGACTACTGCTACGGTCAGCTGTAAAGCTGACATATCAGGTGACGTCACGGTTTGACGTGCCTGTGTAGAATTGGGTTAGCCCAAACCAGATATAATGTACAGGCCTGTTGGGTTCGGGGTCTGGCATTCTTCATCTGCCTGCGCGCAGTACTGGAGGTGCAAGATACCTGAGCGTGTAATGTTATTTTTACCTGTGATCCTTGAATAAACCAGCACGGTTTTTTGTAGCCACTTGGACCGCCTCGTCTCTCTGAGTTTCACTGGTTAAGCGTAACTGGGAAATATCTTTTAGGACAAAGCAGGACCTCATGAATAGAAACACTATGTCTACACAGAAGTTAAAGTAGTCAATTTCTACTTCAGTATCACTTGACTCTCATCAATACAATTGGAAGATATATGGTATATGCAAGGAAAATAAATGTATTAAAGTAACCAAAGCTCAGTAGTTCTGGACAATCATCAATACAGTTTTAACATGTATAACCAAGGAAAGTAAAGGTATGAAAAGTAACTAAGGGGAACTAAAGGTATGAGAGGTAACAAAAGCTTATAAAGTAACTAGAGCCTCTAAGAGTCAACTCTTACAAGGATGAGGGGAATATCAGCTAATACTTAGAACCTAATCAAATATGAGAATTTATGATAATATAAACAATAACGTGTCGCACAGTTACATATGCACGCATTTTCCATGTCGAAGGTGAGACTATGAATTACAGTTAACCGATTGCGCACCTTGAACGTTCATCTCGCCCAGCAGAATCCGCACCGCCCAGTGAGGCTGCCCTGGATTATAAAAGACGCACCTCAGTGAAATGCATTCGAAACATTTCCAACCAATCATAGCGTAGAGCGTAGGGAGTGCCGTTGTTTGAATGCTCAGCGGAAACGCACACAGTCCTGTCGCTGATTTGACGAGCGAACCGTGGTACAATGCAATTCGTTAGCTAACGAGTCGCATTTGGTGTAATTCATACATTCAGCTAAAAGGGGTAAAGGTAGTATTAAGTCGTGTGACACCGAGAAGATGTTTTGTTTTTTCCGACTGAGGCTGGTCAACGAGTTGATGTGATTTGCTGACCTAGCTGGCTAGCGTTAGCCAGCTAACCGTACTGCAACCGAAATATGAAGCTAGCCACTAGACAGCTGCTACATAATGTAAGGTTATTCCAGTCGTTAGAATCTTTTTTAGACTGACTGAACTCATAGTTGTTACAGTTGGTAGACGATTGTAGAGCTCAAGCGAGCAGTTCTACGGGAGGACGATTTAGCGTTAGAAGTCTGTAGAAAAGCTGGGCTGAAGGCAGAACTGATACCACTGCGGATGTCAGTTTACTTGGGTAACGTTACTAACAGAAGATAGTAAACGAACTATTCCAAGCCTACTTTTAAAGTGCATGGTAAAATTGCTAAATGAAAAGTCATGGAGAGAAATGTGATGCGTCTGTTGGCCGTGCAACACCTCCGCACAGCGTACGGGATAAAGACGAAGAACTGGAACAAAAACAAAGCAGCCAACTGTAGGTCAACAACCAGCAACTCGGTAAGCTTAAAGAAAACCGGGTACTTACTGTGTGTGCAGCATTATTTACTTGACTTTTATTTGTACTGCATCTAAAAGTTCACAGTATCGTCCTTGGATATAGTGTTTAGTGTTTGGGATTAAATTAGCATATTGCTGAACGCTTACCTCTACTGATGGGACCCATTTGTTTGCTGGCCTTTGTCACCCAGGTCAGGCTCCACAGACCTCTAGGTTCGACTGTTCCGTGATTTTGTTTTCTTCATATATATATA